TCAAAAATAAATATAATTTTTTTTTATAAATATATTATATAAATATACAAATATTAAATATATTTATTAGATTACAATTTAATATGTAAAAATTTGAGTTATTATATTTTAATTCAAATATATCAGGTTAGTGTATCACGCTTAATGAGATGACTAATAATTATGATACTGATAAATTAAATGTAACTCTTTGAAACTACTACATCAAATATTCAATAAATTAATTTAATAAATTTATTTAATTCTTGATTTAATTCTAACTTTCATTTTCATACACTCGTTTACAAGTATAAATTTTGTCTGTAAAAGAACCTCAGAATCAACTAATTCAATATCATATCTCTTTAAGAATAAAATAAATACTACTTTCATAGCAAATAGTGCTAAATGTTTCTCTGAACACTCCCTAACTCTATTACCAAAGGGTATATAACTATTTCTAGTAATATCATCACATTCGAGAAACCTTTCTGGTATAAACAATTGTGGATTTTCCAATATTTATTACTCTGATGAATATAATTATGATGTATAAAAAATTCTTGCTCCTCTTTCTATAACATATTACAAATAACATCACCTATAACAATAGTTCTCAAAGAAAATGGTATAGTTGATATTAGACGTAATGATTCTTTAATGCACATATCAACATATTTTAAACTATTAATATACTTATAATTCAAACATAATTCATCCTCAAATATATCTCTAAGTTCATTATAAACTTTATCCTTAGTCTTAGGATATCTACATATCTTCTACAGAAAAACTATTTATTTGTAATAAAAATTATATCACAGTTATAAAACAAAAAAAGTTAGTACTTATTCAAGTGAAGTAGGCTCCAATGCCAAGTTGCCTTGGCTCAGATATTTCAAGAGTATGTTTTGAGCACTATTGAGATCTCTGTCAATCTCAAAACCACACATGTTGCACCTGTAAATCTTGTGCTACCAAGATTGTATTTGATGCATCTACAATTTCTGCACGTCTTGCTTGTATAATGCTCATCACACAGTACTAGTAACCTTCTAGAATACTCTCATATCTTGTGTATCAAGTGCTGTTGGAAACTGTAATGTGACTATGTCAACATCATCCTCGCAGTTTTACTATTAATCTTTTTTTTGAGATTTTTCTTGAAGGTTTTGATAGATTCAGACTCTTGGTTCTCAAGTCTTGATTTTTTCTTTTTCACCATATTCTTTGCCTCAAACCTCGGTAATAGTATAGTGTTGTAATTCTCACACAAGTCTTTTATGATCTTGTAATGACAATTCCTGATTAGGCTTCTGATCTTATTATATATCCTCATATATTTCTTCTCAGAGTATACCTCATTCGTTTGTTGAGGCTGCCTTTTAGCTTAGATCTCTCACTTTGATACTTGTTGTATTTCTTACTCATTCAATAGATATGTATGATGTCCCATTTGCCATATTTAATAATCTTTCCACTCGGATCATAACATGTCATAAACGTTCGTACTCCTGGATCGATAGAGACAAAGTTGTTATCTTTATGGTAATATTCTCTTATCAGTATGCAAATGCAGAAATAGAATCTTCCAAGTCTATCTCTTATGATATTAACTGCATTGTTTATCTCTGGTAGTTCTTTAGATATCTTGATATGCTTTAGAAATGCATAATCACCTCTTTTTTTTTCCAATCTCTTCTCTCGATAGTAATTGTTTGGAGTTTGTACTTTTTTGATCTCTTTTTGATCTCAAACTTGAAATCCTTATTTTTCTTACATTTGGTAAAATTTGTGTTGTATGCAGTCATTACTTTAGATAATGCATAGTCACATACACTAGAAGATGTATCTTTTACCCAAGTATTCTTATGTTCATAGTTGTCATTATTGATCACTTGTTTTCTCAGGTATCCTCTAATATGAGATTCTCTTTCTCTTATCAGGTCAAGATATCTGTTGTATGTCTATCTCACTGTACTTATCCACTTTACTAATGTTTCCCTTTCTTGTAAGTTGGAGTACATCCTGATCTTTTGAGTCTTCAACTTTCTGTCATCTATTGATTGTGAAGACGGTGATGATATATAGTAAATCTTCTGTGAGTTCTTCACAATTTGATCCAACGTCTGTACTGAGAACCACAAGTCTGACTTGGTGTTACTAAGACCTGTCTTTCCTAGTGACTACAACTTTTTCAATATCTTCTTGGTATATTTATTTCAGAATGGACATACATTATTGTCATTTCCTACAGAGATCTGACCTGATAACAGTAATGATCTCATAATCTAGAAATTCAGTAGCGAGGTATATATACTGCCTGTTAAGGTTATCTTTCTGCTTTTTATCAGGTACTCATACATAACAAATGCTTTTCTTTTGAATCGTTATTTAACTAACGCATATGACTTTGTCCTTATTGCTCTACCTTTTGAGTATACTTGCTGATACTCCATATGTTTTTGATTTCTTAGCAAGCTTACTTGTCATTTGTATGTGTTTTGTGACTGATAGTAGATCTATCATGTACTCTTTATATAACCAAGTAAATATAGTACTCATCAAATCCTAATATATTACAAACATCAAACAAGTAATTAAAGGAATTAATAACATGTTTCAAATGATAATTTTAATTATAAAAGTTATATCTTAACTCACCTAATATATCAAAAATTTAACAGAATTTACTGTTGTAATTACACCACCATTGATCATCTCATTTATTATCTGTATTATATTCTCATTATCTGATTTCATACTAAGTATTTACATTTTATTATTTAATCTACTCTTAATATCCTCTTTAACTAACATCATTAACATGTCAGTATTTTTTCTATCTTTATCATTAACAACATTTTTATTGCTTTTCAAAATCTGCTTTCTTCATAATTCTATCAAACAATTTATTGCATCTCTAAAACTTCTATCTTGCTTGATGAATCTTTTCTTTATCTCATTTGAAAATAGTACATGATCTATAATAATATTCAGTAATATGTAATAAAGATCTGTAACCTTAAACCACAAAGTCATTCTCTTAGGTAAATACATTATTTTCTGATATATGGCCTCTAATACAGTTTCTCTGAGTATTATATTCATAAATACTTTTGCAAATATTTCAAGTATCCAAATATTCAAATCTAATTCAAAATTTTTTCTCTGATCATTTTCATCAAACATCTCTTCAATCACATCATTTATACTAGTCATATAATTTTTTAAATTCTTCGCAAGACTACAAATAAATAATTATCTATTTTTCTTGTAACTAGGTAAGTTGTTGAATACTATTCCTATATCCTCCATTCCTAATGAAACTGCCCCAGGTATAATACATTTTTGAAAAATAGAATCTGAACTCTTGTCATAGATTACATCCAATAATCCAGGATCTCCTACTATAATTTTTCGATTAACTCCAACATACAATTCAAATATACCACTATACCTTTCTTGGAGTTTCAATAATGTTTGTCTAAATTCCGTAAAGACAAAACAATATAAATAACTAACTAATGGTAACGGAAACGGTCCAGGTAACTTATTTTCTCGTATAAAATATAAATAATAAAATATGACTATATAGATAATAGATCCTACTCATAAAATTTCGAATAAAATTCGACAAGAGTATAAAACAAAAGAAAATATATTAAAATTCATTTTAAATTAATTAAACAATTTAAAGTCAATTAATATTTGATAAGAATAATTCAAAGGTTAATATATAAAATATGAAAATATTCACATGAGTATTTGTTTATTTTTTTTTCTTTACTATAGTTATTTTAAACAATAATAATTATTAACTAATAATCCAATAATTATATTTGACTATTAATCCCCTACATCTCCCTAAACTCTTGAATTTTGATTGTTTTTCTGGTCTTTTACGCATATTCTGCTACAAACACAAGCAAATGCGAATCTAAAATTTATTTAAAAACAATTCAAAATTATTATATGAAGACAAATATTCTTAATCATAAATTATCAAAATCCCATATATGTTAAGATTATGATATCTAGCTTTTTACATAATTAACATACCAAAAGTTTGTTGAACATCACTTGTTATATATAAACTATTTACATTTTTTAAAGCAAATAATGACTCTCCAATAGAATTAATAAATGACTGTATTAGAGCCAAATCACCACCACCTATAGAAAATTATGATTTATTAAATCTAAAATAATTTAATAATAAAAAATTAGATATATTTACTATGACTGCTTAAATCTTTAAATCCAATAATATCAGCAGATTTTAATATTTACTTTTTTTTTGTTAAAAAATTATAATATGTAATTGTGTCAATTCTATCACATTCAATTTCTTCCAATATACCAAAAATTCTTAAATAATTTCAATTAATATTATTTAAAATAAAATCTTTTCAGCCTATACGAGACAATTTATAACAACAATTGATAAACAAAAAACTCTTTTCGATCTCA